GCTGGTCTACAACAGCGACGACAACCGCACCTCCACCAGCGCTGATGATGTCACCGTGTCCCTGAACGGACTGGAGGGGCTCACAGGTACGCTAACGAACTACTGCCAGCAGATCCACCAGGCCTTTGTTTGTGTAAGACAGTCCTCCCTGTTACCTGTCTCACATCCAGGTCTCGTGTATGTGACGTATTACATCGACAACAATGTGACCAACCCGTACGAGCTGTGGCGGAGCTTCGGCAGCCCCGACTACCCAACGGCACAGCAGTTCAGACTCCTCAGGAGTGTGCAGGTAAACAACAAACAACACTGTCAATCAACATCAACATTATCATGTTCACAATGCTGAATATCACTGGCTCTCAAACTCCCTCTAGTGGTCTGTGGAGGAATCTCCAAAGAGAAAGAGCACGGAAAGTCTGTACTGAAGTAGAAGGTGTTACATTACTGAATTAAAGCTGCAAGCAGAAATAACCGGGCCCTCACAGTCCACAAGTGTGGACGCACTGGTCTTTAGATTGCACTGACTGAATCTGAAGTCGATCCGATCAGTTCCCTAGGAGGAGTTTGTTCAAATACAATACGCCAAATTCCAAATGGCCAACTTTCTGTTGGGTTTGGGTCCAAGAGCAGGCGTATTCATTGATGAAGATCTTGTTCAGAGCAGCTTTAATCTTAATGTTGGATGTCGTTGTGTCAGGACCCTCATGTTGACGGACCCTGGGACGTTCCTGAAGGGGACACTCTGACTCTGAAAGCCAGACTGTCTGTGCCGTCCGTCCTCCTCATCCATGTGTGTGCGCAGCCCAAAGCTGTGCCAGACCAGGTGAGTACCAACAACAACAACAACAACAACAACAACAACAACTAAAGATATATAGAAGTATTATTTATCTGCAGCAGTTGACGGTTGTGCTGTCTGCAGTTGAGCACGTGTTTCTGTGTCAGACATGAGAATGTGAATGTGTGTCAACTCAAAGCTTGATGGATGGAAGGGGAACAACAGGAGAGATGATGATGAACTGTTTGACTTCAGGTTAATGGATTACGCTTCATCAGGATCACCAAAGGCCAAGTCCTGATTGTCTGGTCAGACCACTGCGTTGATTCCAAGTAGGTGAACGTGATTGTTTCTTTATTTCTGCAAGAAAATGTAAATGAGTTGAAGGCTATTGAGTGGGATTTTCTTAGGAATCAAAGTATAGACTCAAACAAACACAATCCCTCTCTAGCAACACCCACTGGACGTGAGTGGCAGTGTCTGTATCTGCAGCTTCTTTCAGTGAAATCAAAGAGGAAACACATGAAGGATCATGAAAAGCTTTAATTCCTGCCTTTGAATCTCTGTGTATTTGCAGATGCATTAAGACATTCGAGGTGGAGTTCTCCTCGGAGCAGAAGGAATTCAGCAGAATCAACACTCAGGACACCATCTTTACATCTCACGTTTATTCACCGGGTAAGAATTCGTTCACCTTTCAGACTGTATTTCAGCACTGTGGCACCCGGCTGTGGAAATAACACTGTGTTGTGTTGTGTAGTGGACCAGGAGGTCGGCGGGGTGTACAGAGTTCGAGCTGTGGACTACTGGGGCAGACCCGGGTCCTACTCGCTGCCAGAGAGCTATTCAGAGGAGCACTAGAACAAGGTCAAGTCTGTTCACTGTGTGTGAATCATTTTGTACAATCTGAATATTTTACAGAGATCAGTGTGCTGATTATATGTTTTAAAGTCATTAGTGATGAATTAAGTGCTGTTTGATTCATTATAAACATACATTTATTATTTATGCCCTCACATTTCTGATGTATAGCAGTGGTTGGAATTTCAGATTCATTTCATTTAGATTTTCTTCACTTACAGTATTGGATAAAAGTGACTGAATTCAGTAATCAGCAACTCAAATACGTTCATTTCTGAAGCTGCTGTAGATTTATTGACTTATGGAGAGTCGTCAATAACTGACCTCACTGTTACAGAAACTGTTCAATCTAATGATGCATTCATTAATAATCTTTTGTTATCTGAACAGCCCTCGCAGAAACAAGACAAATATTCCCAAATATAATCATATTATCGAGCAAAAAGTTCCATGTCAATTTTGCTTCTTAAAACTAGCACAAAAATCAGCCACTGAAAGACTGTAATGAGCTTTGTGCTTATTAGTATTTTGGTCCCTTTATTGAACTGAAATCTTACAATAAGACACAATTTCTTCAAACAGCCTGATAACAATAAGTGAATTTGTCTTAAATTAAAGCACCAGAAGCTTCTTATTTTTATCTTTTTTTATTAAAACAATGAAACAGCTGCTTCATTTCCAACACTGGGTTGGAGTGTTGTGCGAGTGCTCTTACTTTAAAAATAAGGACAATAATCTTGTTCCTCTGCTGGGATTTTATGCAACCATTGTTGTTACTGGTTAAATCGAGCTCAATATTAGCTGGAATAAAGTTAGGTTAGGTAAAGTTAGATATATTTTTTTATTAAAACCAGATTACTTTTTTAATGCAAAACATGCTCGACAAGATTATTTTTCATTTCCCAGAAACAAGGCTTGTCTTCTTTGCAGTGTGTGATCTGATTTTAAATGTGTTTTATTTTTTATACTGGATGTGTCTCAGATCTTTGAACTATTGTTTTTGTATGTTTGTGTTTTATATGTTTGTGTGTTAAAGTAAAAGTTGGACCAGTCTAAGTTGCTTACAAAAAAAATAAACACAACAAGTTTCTTTATAAAATTTATTGTCCTCAATACAGAATATACACAGTGCAGATGTTACCCATCAGTGTGACAATACTGAACACTTGGTTATATCGTCACATTCTCCCAACCATTATTAGTTTGGCTTGTGAATATAATTTCATCTTGGCAGTGATAATTAGGTTTTTGTTCACGGGGCGTCGATTGGATTTATCCGATAATTCTCTCCTATGATGTTGGAATAAATCATAAGATTAAGAGGATTATTCTCCTGTTTGTGTGTTTGAGATGAGCTCCGTCTTCATTTTGGGCAGGACGAGCAATCCAGTTCGATGAAGAGCGGCTCGACAATCTCCACCTCGGGAGCAGTTTAGCAAGCTCCTGTTAAAAAAACACATGAAGATGAAGAGTTAGATGAGTTTAAACATAATGTATATAGACAGTGACAGATCTAAACAAGGCCTGGTCACCCCAGTTTGGTGTCAAATGCTGTCAGTTAATTCATTTAGATTAATTTTTAAATGGAAATTAATTGAATGATCTGCCACATTTTTAGACCCAATGAAGTTTTGGAAATAAAACAATTTATTGGTTTGTAATACCATCTTTTTGAGTTCATGAGGCATTAGTATTAAACTGTTTCATAACCAGTTAAAACTTATTATAGTTTCAATATAAATGTTCCTAAAAAAGAGAAAATGTGTCCTTGTAGAAGTCTTCTGTGTGAGCTATATCCTTTAAAACTGTTAGAATGAGTACGTACCAGACTGCAGCACAGGCTGGAACTCTCCGGCCATGCAGATTTCCTCCTGTTTTTGGCGGACGACTCTCTGGATGGCAGGGGGGAGGCCACGGGGGTTGCGTGAGAAGACCAGGGCATAGCCGTCCTCGCAGCTTCCGTCCTCCTTCAGGGTGCGGCAGGCGTAGGTGATGGCGTAGTTGTCATAGTCAGTGTCAATGATCCAGTAGTTGTCACCTGAGAGAGCGAGAAGTTAGTCTCAACTGTGTGCGAGAGAGAGGATGAGAGAGAAAATACGCGTGAGGATGCTTACCGCCACTGGACAGGTAGCTGGCCAGACCCTGGTAGTTCATGAACATCTTGCCGGGGCTGCCGGGGTCGGGGACGGAGTACTGAGCAGCCATGTCAGCACACACAACCCAGAACCTGGATGAGTAGAGGAAGCAAAGTCGAATTAGCAAGCAGGAATGGATATAGTTATTTTTTCAGACTGCTACTATATAGATTTCTATAAATAATATAAACACCCACCCAAAGAGGGTGACTCTGCCCCTGGAGGACGCAATCATGGCACCATCGTCATCAACAGTGTATTCAGCAGAGATGTTGTCCTGCAGGAACAAACCCTCAGGATCCTTCTTCTGCAGAGCGTACCACTTTCCTGAATACTGTCGGGGGAAAATCACAAAGATGAGTCTGATTCTTCTGATAGTCAGTGTGGATATGCACATAGGCAGTGAGAGGCAGTTTTATTTATAAAGCATGTTTCATACACAGATTCAAGGAGCTTTACAGTGTCGTTAAAAGGAAGGACAGTTCAAACATAAAACAGACTTAAAAGTTAAAAACGGTTAAGTTAAAAAGAGCATGAGAAAAGAGAGATCTATAGATGATACAAGAACAAAAATAAAATAATTAAAAAAATAATAATAGCACAAGCACATGTTTTAGAAGCATTTAGGTAATGTTTGATGTTTGATTCTATAAACTGTCAAATTTGGGTTTGAGGTTACGGATAAGAATGCCGAGTACACATTACTGTATTACGTATGCTGATGATTTTCTGGTTTACTTGAAGGATGCAGATTATTCTGCTCAACCCGTTTTTCTACTTGTTCCTCTGTAGGAGCTAGCTAGCTGTCCTGAAGTTAATATTTACTACCAATTCAATTTCTCAAATAGATATCCCTTCGCTGTTTAGAAAGAGAATCACAAGTATTACTGATTTCCTGTCACTGAGTTCTGAGTTCTGCTTGTGGATTTGTGAGTATTATATTGTAGTCTATATGTCTGTACTCACTCTTTTGGGGTCAAAGTCCTCTTTGACTGTGAAGCTGTCGACCACGCAGGAGGCCAGGCTCTGCTCCACACAGGCCAGGAACAACATCACCACGGCAAAGAGTTGGAAGTCCATTCTGGGCAAAAACCAAAGTCAGACACGGGTTAATTTACATTCCTTGTTGTACTTTAAATCAGTATTCCTATTTACTGTTAATAATTTGATGTTAAAGAAGTAAAGAAGTATGTATTTGGTCCCCATGAAGCAGCATCCTCTTACCTTATGTGTAGGAAGAAGCAGCAGGAAGTTTTCAGTGCAGAGTTGTTGCAGTGTCTGAACTGTGGTGAGAAGACGGTGCGCGGTCCTTTTATATCCGATGCACAGACAGGCTCACTGTTTATTTTCACTTCTTGAACCTAAATGCAGATTTTAAATCTACCACTAATCCAGTTAACAAAATCCTCCGGCTGTAAGCTGATGAACCCTCGCATTCAGCACTGTATGAGCTTTACGTAATTGTTTGCAGGGCTCTATAACAGCATACATAATGGCAGATGCCCCGGTGGCCTGAGCCTCAAGTCACACGTCCACGCCCATGTTTACATGAGCAGAATATTTTAAGATCTCCAGTGGAAGCCAATGTTGATATAAGGTTTGTTGATACCTGCTGAGAAAGTATTGTCACACGGGGTGAACAGAACTGATTTTAGGATTTTAGGTTTAGGTGTGCAGCCATCTTTCAGTTTTTTTGTCCATATTCACATCAAATCTTCCCCAAAACAAGTTTATAACAAAAATAAACTGTCATACTTTTATGTTTTCTTGTTGTGTATTTATACATAGCTTTGCAACACTTACTTCTTTATGAAAATTCATGCTTTTATCACTTTATGGCACATTATAAAAGGCAATTGTATTTCTCACTGATATAAGTGTTGTATATCCCTGCAATGACAAAAAGGTATTTATAAAATAGGCAACACTTAAAAACAAAACTGAACAACAATAAATATAAATTTGCAAGGATAATAAAGAAAACAACAGAAACAATAAAATGTTGATAGGAAAAAAATAAACACCAGGGACACAAATAATGTAACAACCAATAATTAAAACCTAAAAACTAAAGATACTTTTTATTGTCTTTTTGTTCATTTGAATAAACAAATAAACAAACATTCATTAAAAAAAATCTCTTTTGGTCAAAACGGAAACTTAAAACAAAATTAAAATAATAGAAAGGCATCAAGGACAAGGGGGAAAAATAAACAAATACAAATATTCAATCATATACACTAGTTTAATTATTTGAACAAAGACAAAATAACACTAAAAAAATAAAATATCTATACTTGTGTGTATATATACCTACATACATTTAAAAAAAACAATATAATTCATTAAAAATCTGAGAAATGTGATTCAGTTTGTGGACAGAACTTTTTATTTGGGTGTAAAACAAAAAGATCCACAAAGTTTAAGGTTCAGTTGTCAGTTTATTCTTAAACATTGTGGATGTGAGCTGTCATCCTAACTCCCTTTGAGGTCTAGATGGACTGAGACTGGAGGTGATCCACACTCTTTCTTCCTGGGACTACAGGGAAACAGAACAGCGAACTATAACATCTGAGCTGTATTGTTTTACCTCTCTGCCTTTATATTCCACTAAAACTTTAAGGTTTGACTGTATGAAATGTTCTGGAGAACAGCGCTGAGTAAAGAAGTTATGTCAGCAGAGGCTCAGGTGTTCCCGTCTGCTGGGTTAAGTAACGTTCTGTCATCTAAATGCTGCCAGAGCTGCAACCTGTAATCCAGGTCGAAAGCTGTCATATCGGAAACAGCTGAGCTGCGTTAGGGGACGTTTACACCCCGAATGCACCAGCAAACGCACACACAGGTGCCAGAGTGTGAAAACGCCCCACATACAGGACCACAGAGACACGTTTGCTTTTATAAAAGTAATTTACAATGTTTTACATCAATTCTTGAAGCCTGTTTTGTTTCAAAGAGCCCAGCTGGATAGTAGCTATTTTATCGTAAGGAACCCAGTGGATATAATATTCATGGTGTGAGAAATATACGCCGATTTAATCACAATCACATGAATCCATATTTGCTTGGAAAAGACCCCAAATGAAGATATTTGAACAATAAATGGTTTTATTTCCAACTCTACAGACATTTCCCCTAATAAACCTTTATCATTGAACTTTAACCGATCACTAAAAAAGTTTACAATGTGGCCCTAACAGGTCATTATCTCTGCAGGTATTGTTGTGAGGCCTGAGAAGACCAGTCGCCTTTCAGTAAGTCCAGCAGTATTTTTAGTCGACCAAACATTGTTGTTGTTCTAATAATAATCTCACCTGTCCTGAGGATATTAGGTAAGGTCTCGCTCGACCAAATATACACAGTCTTAACTCTAATCTGGAAAAAAAAGCTACGTTCAAATGATCCTGTTGTAGACACACATTTACTGGACACGTGCACTCCGGTGAATACACATTATAACATGTCTTATACTGTTTTTAAATAATATTTTTAAACAGTTAAAGATGTTAAGAGTTGACCATCTTGTAAAGGCGAGTCTTCAGTTCTGCTGTTCCAAAGCCGAGGAGCCAGAAGTGAAAACACACCTTTGGTGTTCAGTCTGATCTCAGGGCTCCTGGCTGGGCTGTAAGGGGTTAAAAGTTCTCACGACAGCAGAAATCAGACCGAATCTGATCTTTTAAAATTCAGATTTCATACGTGGTCCAAGTCAGATTCAGGTCTGATTCTTTGCAATGTGAGCTCAGTGTGAACAGTCACACCAGAGTTCAGGTGACTGTTGCGTCACCGTAGATCAACATTCGTCATGCGGGTCAGGTCAGGACCGAGACCTGCTCACAGTGACATCTGATTTGATCCAACATTTGAAATATAATGTGAACAGCCAAACAATTAAATTCTTATTTTCAAAGATATTATTTAACAGCTGAACAGTCAATATTCACAGAGCTTCACTCTCTGATTAACAGCCTCATCCTGTAATAGAGAAGTTGAAACCAGAGTTGACACACTTTTGTCAAAAAAGAACCCAATAAAGTCTGTTTGATTGTTAAAAATAAATTGTATTAAAAGTTTCTAAAATCAGAAAAACTAATCTCTTATCAATATTCACAGGAAATAATCTGCTCAAAATTCATCCAAATCTCTAGTTTTACACAAACTTCCTGCAGTTATTGAGTTCAGTTTGTGTTCATTGTTCAGTTTATCAACTGTTATTGTTATTAATGAATATAATCTGAAATATACATTAAATATAGTCCATCTACTCACTGATAGAGAAATGGGTCACTTAAGGACAAAGGTGGTTTAGAAGATGTGTAGGCAGCTCTGCTTCATTATATTGCTGTCACAGCCAGTAGAGCCCCACTGTGAACCCAGAAATGCTTTTATTGTTTCATTTCAAATGTAAACACTTTTACATTTGAAATGTTCAGTGTGGATCCCCAGCATTTAGAAACATGTCATATAAGTCAGATGCTAACTTGTATATGTTGGGAAATAATTAGCATTAATAAGCATAAGGGAGTGGTTTTGGAGGTTATTGAGCTTTTGTTGTTTTGTACTTCAGTATCAATACAAATTTCCCCCAAAACTTCTCTTTAAGAGACTAAAGAATGCAAATTTACATTGAGGATATATTATTAACCCACACCAACCAATCAATCAATATCACCCTAAAACTGAAAATTAAATCCCACAGCAAATATAACAAGGTGAAATAATACATCTGTAATTATGTTTCACCCTAAAAGCTCAACATTACTCTCCAGGATCAGCAGGTCACTGCAGGAACTCAAAAACTGTTTAACTTCACGACACCTTTCCCATAAAAGAGGATTAAATGACTCTTAATGAACTAAATTAATCAGCTTTCCTCAGAAATTATCCTTATAATGAACGTTCATCCTCTAACGATGCTGCTCAAAGGAAGAGCTGCTCGTCCGCTAATCCGCTCCCCCGACTTCCCTCCAGTCTGCTGAAGTGTCTCTGTGACAGATACTGAACCCCGAACAGCTGGAAGTTAGACACAACTTCATTTCCCCTTTAAAGAGATTCTAATGTTGGGTTTTAAATGGGAACCAGTGATTATAAAATGAATTTAAATAGGAAGAAAGTGAACATGAACGTACAGCAATACATTTTAAAGAACTTCTGCGTTTAATGAGATTATTAATGTGAACAAAATGTGCAAAATGATTCCTGATCATTGTAATAGAACGTGTTTAATATCTGTAACAGTGTCTACAGAACCAGAGGTCACATGCTGGTAAACAGAGACAAACACTACAGCGATCATGTACTGGTGTTTTTATGAATTTCTACATTACAAACAGGAACTTTAATAAGTTAGGAGTGAGGCAGCATTTAGCAGGGTGACAATGCTGAGTTCAGGAGCTTTACTTCACATGGTGTAACCAACTTTAACCCGCTGGTCCAGAGAGGTGTCGTATTATTCAAGGTAACAGTGAAAACGTCCACAACGCGGCGGCGTGGGACCGGTTGGGACCGAAGTTTGCAGTCGGTGCTCCAGAAAAAAGGAGGGAGAGGTTGGACATTGCACAGGGAGATCGTCAAACAGCGCAGGTTTACTTCAGAATGGTGTCTTGACTCGCTGTGAGAGGAGAACGAGGAGTTTATCATTAAACAGGCTTTCCACTGACTGCTCACAGTGTAAAGAATAATGTATTATACTGAGTGTGAGGGAGGCTAACCTTCTAGCAGCTTGGCGATGCGCTCCTGCTCCTCCCGAACCTTTTTCTCCTCCTCCTCGATCCTCTTCTCCTCTGCTGCGATCGGCTTCAGGTGATCTGAGAAAGAGAAGGTTTATTTAAAAAAAGAAACTTTGATTATAGGAAAATAAAAAACACATCACCCAGAGTGTCAATAAATAACCTGATTATGAGCCTACGAGTGTCACATCCACCTTAAAAAGGTATTTATATATGAGGTTTAAATTATTAATATATGAGCTGTTCTCTGTGTAAAGATACACAGCACGCAGACTGTACATGATTGTTCGTAACACAGAAACATCTGCTTAGCGTAAAATGAACTAAAATACAATAAAGTGCATTATAAATTAGTAATGCATCCTTTATTCACCGATAAAATTACATTTAATTGAGCTGGAACTTTGGTTTTAGCATCAGGGTTTGGTCCTTTTCTGCGCTTGACAAGAAGTATGTTTAGTTATTGTTTTAATAATCAAACTGAAGATTGTTGGTTCTTGGATTCTGTTTTTGGTTTTTTCCGGAACTTGGAAAGAGTCTATAGTTATAATATATCCAAGTAACTCTTGCTGTTTGTGAGGTTAGATTGACCCCCTGAGCAATGTTTTAATAAATCCCCTGCACATGTCGTAAATGGGGGGATGTCCATGGGCAGTTTCAATTCTAAAGCTGTCAATCTAAAGTCCAATCTAAAGCATCAACTAAAGCTTCAATCTTAATAGCAATCAATCCTAAAGCATCAATCTAACGGCGATCAATCTAAAAAGCCATACTTAAAGCTTCAACTAAGCTTCAAACTAAAAGCTCCAGTCTAAAGCGTCAGAGCTAAAGTCTTCAATCTATTAAAGCTCCAATCTAAGCCATTCGAATCCTAAACCTTCAATCTAAAATCTTCAATCTAAAGCTCAGCTAAAGCTTCAATCTAGAAGCTTCCAATCTAAAGCTTCAAATCTAAAGCTTCTAATCTAAAGCTCTGTAATTCTAAAGCGATCAATTAAAGCATCAAACTAAGGCCAATCGTAAATTTCAATCTAAAAGGTCTTTAGTAAGTTCCTAATCTAATAGCTTCAGACTAGATAGCCAACTAAAACTTAATCTAACGAATTTCAAAGTCTAATAGCTTCAATTCTAAACTCAATCTTTACACCAATTCTAAAGAGGCTCGAAAAGCTCAATCTTAAATGCCTTCAATCTAAAGCTCAAATCTAAAGCTTCAATTCTAAAGCCCAAGTCCTGAAAGGCTAATGCCACTCTCCCTCTTGTTAATTGTAGAAGTGAATCTGACTTGTGAGTGCAAGTAATAGAATCCATACGTGTGTATTTTATGCTTGTTAGCAATAACCCTGTTCCCCGGTTTTTACCAGATCGGCGATGTGGTAGTCAGCTCCTTGATGGCTGAATCATCTTACTGGCAAGAGGATATATGGTGAGTTACCACTAACAGCTATCTTCCAGAGAGTAAACCGCCAGGCGTCCCTCAAGCTCTGAGATCAGAAACGTCTGTTTAAAGGCGTAAAAGCTTCAAGTGACAAAAGCGACCAGATCCGTTCTTACAGCATCTTATTAAAGTGCCACTGGATGGCGCACAGACACCGACACCTCAAAAACAAGTCGAGACAGAAACAGAATAAAACTGATTAAAGCGTCTCTGTATAGTGTTCCACAATCACCAACTCTGTTTGTGGAATATAATCCTTAATTCACCGACTTAGATGAGCTTAAAAACAGCAGTTTCAGTCCGAGCAGACCGGCTATGAAACAAGCCACACGGGAGTGGAGGTCAACTTACAACACAACGCAGAGGGAGAGAGACCAACCATGTGACTCTGTTA